AACAAGATCATTCTGGCTGTTATGGTAAGAGAAACCCAAGGAAGAACACAGATAGAATTTAAAAAGGTTAGTCATGCACTATTGTAATAATCTAGGCAAGAGTGGCTTGAATCAGGAAATTAGCGGTAGGGATGGTAAGCAGTTTTTACATTCTGGAATAATTTTGAAGGTAGAGCCAGCAGGATTGCTGGTGGCAGATGTACAATGTAGGAGAAGGAGAAGTTAAGAATGATGCCAGAATTTTTTACCTGAGCAATTAGAACAGAGTTGCTCTTAACTGAGATTTGGAAGACTATACTTAGAGCACAAATTTTTGAAGTAGTCTCAGGAGCTCAGTTTGGGACATGTTTGGTATATCTGTTAGACATACAAGTGGAAATGTCAACTGGCATTTAGACATGTGGGTTTGAAATTCAGGGGAGAGGCCTGGGATAGAGCTATAAAAATGGGGGAGTCCTCACACTGTATATAATCATTTGGAGAAAATAGAAAAGAGGAAAAGTCCAAGGACTGAAAATAGGGGATGCCAATATTTAAGTCAAGGAGATGAAGAAGAACCAACAAAGGAGATGGAGCAACAATCAGAAAGGTAAGAAGAAAAATAGATGAATGTGGTATCTTGGAAGTCAAATCGGAGAGGCGGGTTGAGAAGGTAAGAGTAGTTAACTATGGCAAACCCTGATGATTGCTAAAGAAGAACTGAGAAGGAGAATTGGCTATTAGATTTAGCAACAGGGAAATCTTTTATGACGAAGATAAGAGCAGTTTTGGTGGTGAGGTGGAGGCAAGAACCTAAGTGGAATGAATTGAGAGAATATGCAATGAACATCTACTGCCCTTAATGAACTATGAGCTCCTTACAGGCTGGACCTATGTTTTGTTCACTGCTGTATCCTATCCATCAGAGCAGAGAGTGAATTCTCCCTTACTCTGTCTTCTATTAATATTACTAATAGAAGTATTACTTCTGTTCTATTTAGACCTCCAACAAATTGCATAAGGCCCACTCACATTAGGGAGAACAGTCTGCTTTATTAAGTCTACTGATTCACATGTTGATCTTATCCAGAAACACCCTCAAAGACACAACCAGAATAGTGTCTAACTAATAACTGGACACCCCATATCAGTCAAATTGACACATAAAATCAACCATCGTAAGAACCATTGACTTTTTTGGTGATTATTGATATGGTTGCCTTTAAATCTACCATTTGCTATTTTTATTCTGTCTCATCAATTCTTTGTTTTCCTTTTCCTTTTTATCTGTCTTCTTTTAATTCATTGGATTTTTTTTCTGTGATTTTATTTTATCTCCTTTGTTGACATGTTAGCTATGACTCTGTTGTGTTTTCTTATTGGTTTCCCTAGGATTTATACAGTGGTCTTCAAACAGGCAGTTTTGCCTCCCAGAGGGTTTTTGGCAATGTCTAAAGACATTTTTGACGAAACTGGGTGAATACTATTGGCATCTAGTGGGTGGAGGCTGGATTGCTGTAATAATCTGAAAATGCAAAGGACATTCCCAACCAAAAGTTATCTAACCTAAAATGTGAATAGTGATGAAGAAATTCTGGTTTATATTATAATTCTTTAACCTACCACCATTTGCTTTCAAGTTATATTATACCACTTCACAGATAGTACAAATACTTTATAATATATACTTCCATTTTCCCCTCCCAGTGTTTGTGTTATAGTTGTCCTAAATTTTATTTCTACATATGTTATAAACCCCACAATAAATTACTATTTTTGCTTTAAAGAAATTACTATTTTTAAAGATTTTTTAAAAATAAAAGTCTTATATTCAGCCACATACACATTTACAATCCCTGTATGTCTCTTCATTCTGTGTAGATCTAGATTTCCATCTGGTATCATTTCCTTTCTGCCTGGAAGACTTCTTCAGTATTTCTTGTAGTATAGGACTGCTCGTGATGAATTTTTTCAGTTTCTATGTGTGTGAAAGAGTCTTTATTTTACCTTTTGTCTTCAAAAGATATTTTTGCTGAGCATACAATTCTACATAGATTTTTTTAATACTTTAAAAATGTTGCTACACTGTCATTTATTGGGCACTGACAAAACATTTTTTGAGAAGAATCTTCTCATTGATGCTCTTACATAATGTGTGTGTGTGTGTGTGTGTATGTCTCTCTAGCTATGGTGTATAAGATTTTTCTCTTTACCACTGATTTTGAGGAATTTGAGTATGATGTGCCTTGGTGTGGTTTTCTTCATGGGTCTTGTGTTTGGGCAACTTGAGATTATTGGATCCTATTAGTTTTTAGTTTTCACCAAATTTGGAAAATGTTCAAGCTATTATTTCTTCAAATATTTTTTCTGTCCCCTTTCATATTTTCTCTCTCTCATTCGTATCTCTAATAACATACATATTTAGCTGATTGAAGTTGCTCACTGATGCTCAAGGCTGTTTTTTGTTTTTTTGTTTTTGTTTGTTTTTGTCCTTTTTCTTCCTTTGTTTCATTTTGGGTACTTTCTATTTCAGTGTTTTCAAGTTCACTAATTTTTTCATCTGCAGTGTCTGATCTGCTCTTAAATCCCATCCAGTATATTTTTTTATCTCAGACATCCTACTTTTCATCTCTAAAAGTTTGATATTTTTGGTTGTTTTTTTTTTTTTGTATCTGCCATGTCTCTACTTAACATAAACCTCCTTAGCTTTTTGAACATATGAAATATAGTTATAAAAAGTATCTTCACATCATTGCCTGGTATTACAAACGTCAGTTCTGTGTGCATTTTGATTGAATTATTTTTCTCCTCATTATGGATCACTTTTTTCTGCTACTTTTTACTACTGGTATTTTTTTTTATTAGATTCCAGACATTATGAATTTTACCTTGTTGAATATTGAATATTTTTATATTCTTATAAATATTCTTGAGCTTTATTTTGGGATGTAACTAACTAACATTGAAACAATTTGATCCTTTCAGGGGCGTCTGGGTGGCTCAGTTGGTTAAGTGACTGCCTTCAGCTCAGGTCATGATCCTGTAGTCATCGAGTCCCCCATCAGGCTCCCTGCTCAGCAGGGAGTCTGCCTCTCCCTCTGACCCTACTTCCTCTCATGATCTCTCTCTCTCATTCTCTCTCTCAAATAAATAAATAAAATCTTTGAAAAAAAAAGAAACAATTTGATCCTTTCAAAGCCTGCTTCTAAGGTTATTAAGTAAGACCGCAGCAGCATAATTTGGAAGCATAATTTTGCTAATATTACTAAGGCAATACTCTTTTGAGTACTCTACCCAATTACTTGTTTATTATAGGTTTTTTGTTCATTTATTAGTTTGTTTTTTTATTCTGACTGATGGTAAGATGAACTATTCCTGGCTTTGTGTGAGCCTGGCAAGTTTTCCCTCTGATCTTTTGAAGTGATTCCTTCCCTACTTTGTGTAGTTTCCTCATACAATGCCCTCTTCACTCTGTGGGAAAACAGATGTTAGCTTGTTACTGAAGCTTAAGTAATTCAGTTAAGATTCCTAATGGCAAATAATTGGCTTTGATCAGGACGGTAGAGGTATTGTAATATAATTTATGTCATGTCCTTTAAAGAAAGGAAAACTAAAAAATAGTGATGAAACATATATTTACTATTTCTAAACTTAAATTAAGCTGAAGAGTTTGGATTTTGTTATATTTTATTGTTTTCTACAATCCATACTCTTTACAGTAAAATCACATACCTTTATACTTTTCAGTTTTCACTTTTATAATGTCACTTGAAAGAACTATTTATGTGTATATAAATGATCTTGTGGAGAGCAATGAGCTTTATTTCACATACAGTACTTAGATTTTTTTTTTAATTTTTTTTTTTAAGATTTTATTTATTTGCGAGAGAGAGAATGAGAGACAGAGAGCATGAGAGGGAGGAGGGTCAGAGGGAGAAGCAGACTCCCCGCTGAGCAGGGAGCCTGATGCGGGACTTGATCCCGGGACTCCAAGATCATGACCTGAGCCGAAGGCAGTCGCTTAACCAACTGAGCCACCCAGGCGCCCAGTACTTAGATTTTAAGGTACTGTATAATTATACCTAGGGTTCTTGACTAGCATTTTGATGGCATAAATACTCAGTGGTGTGCTATGCAAAGACATGTACAACTCTACTCATAAATTCATAATTGATAAGTGCTGAAAGAATATTTAAACCCTAAAGGTAGTACAGAAATCTTTGTCTAATGGTAGACTGCATTGATACCCAAAGTACAATAAAATTAGAGCTTTTTCAGATTTTTCTATAAATTATTGATTTTTGATACCTGCTACTGACAAAGGAGATTTTACTCTACTTTTAGAAATTAGGAATGATTTCTCACTTTCAGAATGTCAAAAAATTAATTGAAAGTATGTATACAAGTGTGTCTGTGTGTGTGTGTATGTATTTATTTTCATTCCTAGACAGTGAACTTAGGAAAATAAATTTGTCACTCAGCTGAAGACCCATTTCATTTCAGGATCTCATTACTTTTATTCTGTTACGAAGTTTCCTATTAATTTAGAGAGTGGTAATAGAAAGCCTATGCTTCATAGTACCTTTTTATGAGACATTTTGGACATTTTTCAAATACCATCGTAACAATTCTCAAAAAATACTAAGGGTAACTCCATACTGATAAGGACCATTAAAATCCCAGAAATATTTTTGTAAAAATCTGAAAGTATACCCTTGGAGTTGGCTTGCTAATATTGTGTTTGGGTTAAACGTTGTCTTGAGTATTTTCTTTGATGAAATGAAGACATTCTGTGGAATAATCCTTGGTGAAAGTGTCATCTGCAGCATTTGTAAGAGATAATATTATTTAAAAGAGTATTTGTGGTAATAATATAATTATTGACATTCACTCTTATTTTAATCAGTGGAGTAGACCAAAGCATCGAATATTTTTTACATTCAGTTTATTAGTAATCATTGTAATTATATTTTATTTCTTCTTTATCCATCCCTGGAACCCCTTTCCTCTTCCACCCATAGCTCTATGCCATCCCTTGGTTTCTCACAATGTTTACTCGTAAGTATCATTTTCCCTTTTCTTTCAGTATCGTATTAGTAAAAGGACAGCTCCATTCTTCCCCAGTATATTATAGTTACAGTGATATTAAACAGATATAATTACATAAACATCCTTATGTAATTCTAATGTAATAGAGTTGGGTAGGGAGAAATTTGAATTGTTTTGACTGATGAATATCAAAAAGAGTATTGCATAGGATGAGTGTTGCATGGTGATGTATAGGATGCCTATCTTACATGTCATGACATTCATACAATCTTTTCCCTCTAATGAAAAAGAAATTAACATTAACTATAGTACTTACGTAGAGTTTTTTGGAAGACAACTTTTACAAACCAAATGAGACTCAATTTTTAGAGATCCTCTAATAGCTAATACTTTTGCTATTTCCAAACCTGGAATTCCTCTAGAAATAGATTATGTGGGTATATAATAGTTTAATCAACGACAGGTATTAATATGGTGAACATTCTGCTTAAATGGGTACAAATGACAAATGGAATACTATATTTAGAGTAGATCTGTATGCATTGGCCTGGAAGGATATCCACAGTATCATTAAGTGTAAAAACTAAAGTTGCAAAAAATGGGATAAAATTTTTATGGGAACTTAATAAAGCAATTATTTAGAATGCATAATAAAAATGTTACAATACTCAATCTAAAAAAGGACTAAATTTCATCTAGGTAAATAAATTTATGAGAACAGTATAACAAGAAAATTCTAGGAAGAAATATAATGAATGAAACAACTATACCAGGATTAATGATGGAGGTTAGAAAATGTCATCTATTTGACCAATCTGATTATCAAATTTTAAAGATACCTTAGGAAGCAATAAATATTGTATGAAAACAGTTCTATAAACATTTAATGAAGCCAAACCAAAAATAGTGTTTATGAACATTTTATAAAACCGAATAAACATTTTATAAAAACAGTTTGGTAGTATTTGTTCTTCAACAGCTTTGACCATAAGGCATTTGTCATATGTCTAGTAAAACAGCTTGTTATTGTTTTAATTTGTTATTTTGTTTTTTATTTTAATTAATATATTTATATTTTGTTATTTTACAGATGTATTTCCACTGCACAAAATTTTCCACCTCTGGGATACCTTACTCCTTGGGAATTCCTCTTTCCCATTCTGTATTGGAGTAGCAATTCTCCAGCAGCTACGGGACCGGCTTTTGGCTAATGGCTTTAATGAGTGCATTCTTCTCTTCTCTGATTTACCAGGTACAGATATAAATAAATAGAATCACTAAATGAAATGTAATTATAAGATAAAGAGGCAGTCTTATAGCAATTTGCAAAAATAATCATCCAAGATTTCAAAATCTCTTCTTGAGCCTTGACTTCCTTCTGTGGATTCTCTCTCACTCATATACTGCCACATCTGCTGTTCCAGCATTGTAGGTACAAACCTGGGTCATACTAGATGGCTGTGGTTTACTTTCAAGTCAGTGATGCCACCAAAAGGGTAAAAGAACTGGGGGCAGTAACATATTTGCCTTCAATCTTAGGATGGGCCTGTTTATCTTCAGCTGATAGAGTCAATAGGCTACTTGGTTAGGTGTTTAAGAATCTATATTTTCACAAAGATGTAATCCACATGGAACTTTGCTCTCTCCTATCCAGAGCTGCTTACTAACCATTTGACAGTTTGAGGAAAGGAAACGCTGTGCCCTTGGGAGGGCACATAACACTCCTAGGAAATTCCATGTCATACAGTGCGGGATAGTAAGTTAAGCTATATATTATATTCACAAGTGAAGAGTTTGTAAATCTAGGTGTCAAAAGCTAAGTGTGGAAATAGGAAACACAACTATGGTCTAAGCTTTGCTGCTGTGGTTGCAAAGATGAAAGTAATGTGATTACCTAAGATATAACAATCTGTGGAACTAAAAAACTATATTTTTGCAGAAACCAAAACGTTTTTCAGGTAGAAAAATTCTACTTTCTTCAAACAGCATTTCATTGGTTCCAGCCCTTCTGCTGAGTTTATTGTTGTTCATAGTTTTAGGCAGGCACAAGTGACTGCTGATAATAAATGCACTTAAAGTTATCCAAGAGATAAATTTGCCTAAAAAACAAAGAACAAAAGAAAGGGGGGCATGTGATGTAATAAGCACTGGGTATTATATAAGACTGGTGAATCATTGACCTCTCTCTTGAAACTAATAATACATTATATGTTAATTAATTGAATTTAAATTTTAAAAAACGATTAAAAAATAAATAAAACCTCAAAATAAAGGGTACCTTAAGATTACATATCTATTAAGCACTCTCAAGAGAAATAAGAAAACTGCTACCTACCCTGATTTTTATCTTTAGTGGATGATCTATATTTGGTACTTCACTGTCTCTCTGTTGTTGAAATCCTCATCCTTTTGGGAAAATACTAACAAAAATGCTTGGAATAATAACAAAAATGCTTGGATTTATGTAAAATTTCTCCTTCCTTCTTTCCCCCAAATTCAGAGTATTGCCATCATCTAACTTATCAAACTTAAGTTATTTTTTTATATGAACAAATAATAGTTCAGTTCTTATATTATTTGTTTCTGGGAGATTCCTTTTGAAAATCAAATTATCTATTTTTTTTTTCTTTTGGCATTGAATAGTAATAAAGAAGCTGGTTTCACAAACTAGGAACACTCTCTTGTACCCTGCGATGTTTCGCTCTCATTCCCAACTTAAACAGAGGATGATTAATTAGAATTAAAAGAATTTTTCTGGTCAGTTCTAAAATAAAATCAGAAATGCTGATTGTGCATTTTGAAATCAAGCAAATTTAATGCCTTTCCAATTTCATACATAAATGCACCGTTAAATACTGATGAAAGAATCTGTTGTCAGATTGTATAGGCATATTAACAGTAACTCTGCTTGTCCATTAAAATAAAATTATTATTTCTCAAATCAGAAAGTAAGAACACATTTGTTAGGACTGACTCGTTGAAAAGGTAAACTCTACCTACTTTGAAAATAGGATGCCTTCTGTTGATGTGAATTGCCTTGATCCTTAGCCATTATTCTGGCTCATCATTTGCTTGGTTACTGTATATAATTCCTGTTGGGGAAGAAAGAAATTATAATAAAAATATGACTTAAAAAAAACAGAAGGGGTCTAAACGTAGACCTTGCCCTAAAGTATACCCGTGTTTTATTTTTAATCAAAGGACACTTATTTGGGATGTATTTCCTAAGTAGATCTAAAAAGATGTTGAGCTTCCTAACTGTACTTGATGCTTGAAGGAACTGGAAGCGATCATGGGAAGTCCTAAGAAGTGAATCCAGATTAATACACACAAACACACTGAACGTGCCTTTTCTAAGCAAAAATTATGTGACATAAGCTTGGAACATATTTAAAAGAAACAATCTTTTTAAGTCTACAGAAAAAGGATAGGCTAACTCTATATTTCACCTTAATTCTTGAGACAAACTTTGTAGATAAAGACAGGATAGGATCAAACATGGATTTGAACTCACTAAATACGTTGTACTTTACTGAAATCCCCATTCAACTGAGTTTAAAAGCATAAGCAAACAGCAAATTTAACTAAATTCTTTGCTGAAGCAGATTGCTTCAGAACATCTATTGACAGTAACAGGATGGAAACACTACCCAGTTGGTAACATTGTGAACAAATAGGGTTGCATTTTTTTTTTTTAGTTGTCCTTTCTAGTTGTTTCTTTCTACAAAGAGACACTCAGTAGCTCTAGTTGTTAAGAGCATGGACTGTGGAACCAGATCACCTGGGTTTCACATCCTGGCTGTCAGTTATAGCTGTGTGACCTTAGAGTCATGACCTAACCTCCTTGTTTCCTTAACTCTAATTACATGAGAATGATAATAGTACCTACCTCATAGGTTGTTGTGTTAAATAAATATATCTAAACAACCTAGAGCAGTACTGGCACAAAGCAAACACGATGTAAGTGATTATTTTTATTAATGTTGTCATCATCATTATTATGCTTTTTTTCACTTTTCCATTCTATCATGACAGGCTTTCCTATTGGTGGTATAAATGCAGCAATCACCCCATTTGGCTCTTTCTATAAATTATTAAAGTAGATATCAATCATATAGATCTCCTTGTTAGCAAAAGCAATTGAGGAATTACGTAAGAAGTCAAGTAAGCCTTCTATGTTGAGCGTATATTATGACTAAGAAGAATATTTCCTTTCATTGCTCAGAGACAGTGTAGTATAGTATATAGACAGCACAGGCTTTGCAGTCAAGACAGATAAGGGTTTAAGTACTAGCTCCGCCACACACTGCCTGTGTGAACTGGGAAACTTTCAGTGCAGTGCTCCTGCTGAAAGAGCTGTCTGTAGGTAACATAGATGTAGGTTCACATCCCAGTTCTGGCACATTAATTTCTGTTTTAGTGTTACAACGAGCACTAAAGATAATATACATAACATACCTGACACAAAATCCAGTACTGAGTACACAGTATGTGTAACTATTCTTTTAAAGTATATGTAGCATTTAATATTTTAAAAATACATAAAGAACATGTAACATTCAATCTCTGTAAGTCCCCTCTCCTTTCTCCCTCCTTTGCATCACTTTATACTAACTCTTTAATTCTTTTTTTTTTCCAGTGGTTTTCTTTTTTTTTTTTTTTAAAGATTTTATTTATTTATTTGAGAGAGAGAGAATGAGAGACAGAGAGCACGAGAGGGAAGAGGGCAGAGGGAGAAGCAGACCCCCTGCTGAGCAGGGAGCCCGATGCGGGACTCGATCCCGGGACTCCAGGATCATGACCTGAGCCGAAAGCAGTCGCTTAACCAACTGAGCCACCCAGGCGCCCTAACTCTTTAATTCTTGAAGAGAGAACATTGCAAAAAGATACTATTTTTGCCAAAAATTATTCCCAAATTCTATTCCCTTGTAATAGATTATATAGTGGGATGTTACCTTCTGAGGAAGTACGAGTGATGCTAGAAAATGTTGCTAAAAGTTCTTGACATGTATTGCTGTGTGTGTCATGGTAGTACTAGGGGAGATAAATATGAAAGCAGTACATTTGCCATTTCTTATACAGTCTAAAAATAGCGGCAAGGTATTTTTAGAAGAAATACTGAGATTTTCATAGTGCCATCCAATACTGGATATTGGCCACTGGTGTTATGAAGACAGTTTCCAAGGTTACTACCTTTTAAGCTCAATTACAGGATGATGTCTGTCAGACTTCATTCTATCCTGTCTGGTATTGTTCTGCTATAGTGTCCATCTGAATTGAACTAAGAAATGTGAAAGGAGCACAAAACAAGGACAAATCATCCAGAAATATTATATAGATAAATAATGGTGTCAGTAAAGTTAAACCCCAGTAAATGTGGGCTTGTGAAAAATACCATGTTTAGAACAAAAAGGGAAGGCAAGAGTAGACTTACTTTTGGGAAACATTCAATAATATTGATCTATGAGACTTAGCAACTTTGCTTTAATGTTTTTGAGTTGTGAAGCATGTAAAGTGGATGAATTGGTTGTCAGGAAATTTTGACCACTTTCTGTGAGACCTTAAGATAAGTCATTCATTCCACACATGTCTAATAAAAACAATTATATGACAGACACAGTTTTATGCACTGAGGTCATAAACATAAGGATAAGACAGTACCAGCCCCATGGGATGAGGAAAAAGCACTGGAGGTTTAGAACGTAGCATAAGGATGACACAGAAGTGTGCAACTGTATGACCCTCTAACTTTAAGTAGGATACTAATAGAGGGTAGGATGACAGATAAAGATACTGGAGTGAATGGACTGGGATAATAGCACTGATGATGGTAATAAAAATTGATGAAATAGAGTCCTGATTATGGGGACCCTATATGATATGCTGAGGAATTTTGGATTTATTCCATATGCAGTTGGAAAGTGTTAAACAGAAAAGTGACATGATTAGATTTATATTTTAGAAAAATGATTCTTGGTGTAGCGTGCAAAATTGATTGGACACTTCTAAAATGCTATGTTTCCAAAGAATGAAAAGAGAGCAAGTGGCCTGAGATAAGTTCAAGAATATGGTAAAAGAGTACCTATTGATCTTTACCACAATAATTTACATGGCAAAGTCCTGAGAGAATTTTCGGATGCTATCTCTCTTTAGCACCTACAGAATCTTAGTAAATTGGTCTCTCACTGCACATTTCTTATGTTTTAGAATCCTCTTTTCTCCTTCCTACACTGCTGGTGGGAATGCAAAAAA